ATTTAAATAGGTGTCATATTTCATTTCTTAACAGTTGATCAAATTAAAAAAAAGATACTTAAATTTTCAGTGGATTTAAACTTTAAATTTTCACTTTTCACATAGCAGTCCATGGTTACTTTCGCTTCTAGAATGAATAAGTATTTTCACTTCTAGAAGTGAAAATGATGTTTTCGTTAAGGGTAAACGATGGGAAAAAGTCTACTTTCATATATAGGAGTAGAAAAAATTATTGCTTCACGCACGGCTAAATTTGCACTCTCTCTTGAATTTAACTTAACTTCTCTCAAATTATAAAAAAAACTGATAACACTTGTTTATTCGTAGGAAGTTTTGAGTCAAGTATTTGAGTCTTTACTATTCGTACCAAATATACCTTGTCTAAGCCTCGGGATGCCATTAGAATTTTTTGTAATAGCTAATATGCTACCATAACACAAAAATTACAATTATTTGACGTTTGTACTCAACACATACTGCATATTATTCAGGCTTTAATTTTTGAAAATTCAAATTCATGGCCGCACGGGAAGGGATAAAGGGAATGGGTTAAAATTTTTTATGTGTACTGTCTATTTCAAATGAAAATATTTTGGAGGGTGAGACCAACTCGAATTTCCAAAAAATACAAAATCACCTCTAAATAAGGAACACTCTAATATAGGTACACTAATTATGATTAGCCACTCCAGATCCCGCGCATATTTTCATGGTTTCCACAGTCTTGACAAATGTAGCAGTTCACATGAAGGGTATCAAATTTCTTATCGACGAAACTACAAATGTTATTCAAAAATATTTTTATATCTCCTTTTCCGATAAGAACAAATTTGTCGATTTTGGGAATATTATCCGTTATGTGGCTAATAATGATGGTGTTTAGATTTTGATGAGTACCCCATTGAAGAGGTATAATATGTATTTGCACTATTTTATCGATGTTGTCTTTAACAAGCTAATACAAAGGCAAGAAAGCATAGCTAGTGGAAGATAATAAATTTCTAGGATCTCTCTGGAGGGTGGCTTGTGTTTCGCTTTTGGCAGATATTATGACACTAGAAAAGAATACATATTTCATTTTAATTTAACAATATGCGCATCTTTCAAAACCGCTGATTTTTTTGGTTTATACTGCTGACTTTGTCTCTTTAAGTACAGTATTAATTTTGAGAGGTTCGTGTTCTGTTTTAAAATGATGCAGGATTTAAGCATGGAATATACACTGACCATGATGATCTTTTGTGAGGTGTTTCCTTAAAATACATTCGTACTCACATTTATACCGCCCATTGCTCTTTGTTTTGCAATAAATTGTGGGCTGCAGCACGTACTTCAGGAGGTGTACAGACAAGTTCGTGAGAATCAGACATTTTGTAATTTTTGGCCTTCAAAATAAGGCTGCTAGATTATTTTAAATTTTAAAGTTGGCTGGTAGTGTCAACATAGTGTTTACAGCGATGCCAACTTGGTTGTTTATAAATAATTCTCATAACTCAAAAGTAATGTTTTAATTTTAAAAATGTATTCGTTGCAAAAAATATTGTACACAACACGTTTGTGAAAGATGCTTTCCGCATCTACGTAAATGCGGCTCTCCCGCTGAACGCTTAATCAAGCAGGCTTTCCCGAACTAGCTGTGTAAATAACTTTTTTCAATCTTTTTTAAGGTAACATCCGCTACCACAGTTGTGATCACTAAATATTTAACTTATGCAAACAAAGACGATTTCTTATTTGAAGGGATAGTCGAATTGTGTATACTACAACGGGTGGTTCTACTTCAACAACAGTAACAGGATTATCAAATTCGGTGGTGGGCATTCCTTCCACAACGATCGTCCTTGCGGCACTGAAAACCCTTTTTTCCAAGTCTGACAGTAGTTTTTCAGAAGGATATTTGTTCCTGTTTCCGACTGTGTTATCTTTCTTTGTCGCGCTTGCTTCCTTATATGAGCTTTCTAATCACTGAATACCTAAATTTAAAAAATTATGTTGATCAAATTGCTTTTGATCATGTCCCAACTTTACTTTAACTTTTTCCATACCTCTATATCACGTGTGGATCTTCTGCGTGCATTAAATGGTTGCCCAAGGTTGACCCAAGTTTCTCTTAATAATTCCGGATGGGCCGCCAGAAATTTATTGTTAGGGAAATTTCGATTGTTTTATAACTCGTCCAATATATTTCATTTTTCTGACTGGTTGTTTCAGCTATTCTAGCTTTTTTGGGTTCTGTTGACATTTCAGAGCAAAAACGTGAAGCAAGAAATGACATCTATGAATATTAAAAATTTGACATTGACTTATGATACAGACAAAAAATTCGGGCAAGATGTGCAAATCAGGTTCTCATAGCTCAATGAACAACAATGGGAATATGACTTTCATCTCAATGTCATTTGCCTGAAATTTTTCGGAAACGACGGTATAATCGTTGTTTTTTCTCCATAAAGGAAGATTCAGACGCTCATAATCTATACATTTAAAATTGTTTGTCCTGACTGACTGATTCATCAACGCAGAGCCTAAACTACTGAAGCTAGAAACATGAAATTTGGACAGCAGTTTCCTTTTGTGATGTAAGCACCCACAAGAAAGGAACTTGGGAAATTCCACCCCTAAAAGGGTAAAAAGGGGTGGTAAACTTTGTACAGGAAGACTATTTCCTAACCATTTGCGTTGTAAATATTGGGTCGCGGAAATTTGATCGAAAGACAATTGTTCGAAAAACAAATTATCGAAAGCATTTGATCGAAAAACAACTGATCGAAAAAACAATTGATCGAATAAAAAATGACCGAAAAGGAATGAGATCGAAATGCAAAATTTCGAAAACCTGATTCACTGTAGGAACGATTCTGTTAACTCAGAACTTTTTTATTTATAAACAATGACAATAAATAATTCAATATTAATAACATGGTTAGATAATTAAAGAAATCCTTCGCAGATACTGCTCAATTTCATCGTCACTATAAAGTTCGTGGAACTCTGAACATACATTTTGCAACCTAGTATTTAGGTTCTTGTATTTTTTCTTCAGCATTCTCTCTCCCGTTCTTTCCCTGGTAATTTTGAGCTCGGTTGTGGTTTGTTCTCGTTGAATGCTATCGAGAAAACTCCACACGGACGGTTTTTCGCTTCTCATTTGCGAGAGGAATCCTCGATTCCACCCTTCCACAATGTTATTAGTTACTGGCATCTCATGAATTATATTGCTATAACAGCTCCACATGGTGTACGGAAACATTGGAGGATTGCGGGTTCGTCGTTCTAATTTTCCAATCCACGTATCTTCAAAATAGTCAACAAAATTCTGCATTTGAACCGGTAATATATTTTGCCCTAGAATTATGTTGAACGACCTTTCGACAAAATTGACAAGGACAAAAGCTAGAGCTTCCAAAAGCTTGACTTTCCGCTGGAATTCGGGACCGCTGTCATATTTCTTCTTCAAGCCTAGGTTTGAAATTTTTCGGTAAAGGCACTGCTTGAAATGAAAGAAGCAACCGTAATGTTTTGCATCTGGGAAGACTTCCTTCACTACGCTGATAAGGCTCACTTCGAAGTCTGTCATTACGATTTTACGTAACGAAACGTTGCCAAATGACAGTATACATTGTTTGAGGTGTCTTAACGATCTAACATACGTCACTCTCTGCTTGTTGGGCAATAAAATATAAATCAGTGGAACAACAATTTCCCCAACTTTTCCGTGCACTGTGTACAATTGGTGAAAAAAATGGGGCACCGTTTTAAATGTCCCGTCTGCGAACCAGTACTGCGATATACTGAGTAGTCTCAAATTTTCTTCGGTTCCAAACATAAGAAATCGGGGTTCCTCTTCATCATCGTCGTCTGCCCCAGAATCGAACAATAAAAATTTCTCACCTTTTGGTGTTAATTTAAATTTTTCAGGTAGCACGAGCTCGTTCCTACTAATTGGAACCGAAGGAAAATCATTTTCCTTTATTCTGATATTTCTGATCGTCCTTTTCATACTGGAAATTGAAGGCAAATGAGTCCTAGTTACTTCGCTTGTACTAGCTGTTGCTTCGGATATAATTGCCTGGGGCGGCTCCACTGATGTTCTAGATTTTTGTCTTATAGCTTGTAGAACCTTCCTAGTTTCCAATTTTTCGGGCGTACAGGCGTGATCGTGACTCCCTTTGGTCTTCACTAAAGGGCCTTTCTCAATAACACGACCCTTGCAGCCGCTTTTATATTGTTCGCACTTCCAATAGATGGTATCGGCTGTGATTCGATCTCGTACATAGATGTAACCCTCTTTGTGTAAAAGATTTCTTCCCCGTTGGCTTTTAACGAATTCGTGATCTGACATTTTTTTCAAAATTTTTGACATAAACAGATATTACCCAAGAGACACAAAAATTGCACAATTTTGGGTACCACAGCTGCTTCGATAAAAAATTCTTTCGATCAATTGATTCTCGATCAATTGTTTTTTCGATCAATCGTTTTTTCCATCAATTGTTTTTCGATCAATTGTTTTTCGATCAAAAATTTTCGAACAAATATTTTCGATCAAATTTCCGCGACCCGTAAATATTTACTTGAAACTTGGTATTAATGCTCTTCAATACAAATAACGAAACACGTATTTCAGCATTTTCCGAGATTAACCCCTAAGGGGGTGAAAAGCGGTGACTAATTGTGTATGGGAAAAATATTTCTATTGTAAAATTTTGCGTGGAACTTGATATTAATGTTGTTCAACACAAATAATGTGAAGCGTATTTCAGTTGTACGTGGTAGGGTCATTGGAAAAATCAGTCTTAAGCTTTTAAAATTTAAGAAGTTGTATGGAAATAGAGAGGCCGCGACGTCACCGAGAGGCTCACCGCGCTGCAGTCATGACTTACCAGTAAAATAATCCAGATGTTTATAGAGCAAGTGTTTCTAGGCATGAAAGGAAAAATCCAGGAAGACCATCAGAAAGGCGATTGCTTCCGTGGAAGGTTAAAGCTTTGTCTGGAATGATGTATGATCTTGAATTAGCTTATGAAACTGATAAATCTGTTGCCCTAGGTGCTATGAATCACAAATGCATACATTGTCTGGCTTATAAGTCGAAAGAAGAAGCTCCTGGCATATGTTGCGCCGGTGGTAAAGTGCAACTTCCAACATTTGAACCCTTGCCAGAGCCTCTTCACAGCTTGATTATGGGTCTTCATCCAGAGCAGCTTCATATGGATGGTATTAGAAAGTATAACAGTTGCTTTCAGATGACGTCCTTTGGAGCTAAGAAAATAATGGAAGATGGTTTTATGCCCACTTTTAAAGTACACGGACAGGTTTATCATTTGGTTTGTAGCTTATTACCCTTACCCCAACAAGACCCTCAATTTCTTCAAATTTACTTCATTGGTGAAGACGAAAGAGAGGCAAATTTGAGATGCAGCAATTTCTCTGGTGTGAAACCAAATCTGGTCAAACAACTGCAAGCGATGTTGCACGAGAATAATTCACATATAAGGGACCTGAAAACACCTCTTCAAAAAGTACCCGAAGATTGTGAAAAGTTTGAAGTCGTTATTCATGCTGATAGAAAACCAGCCAATGCTCACACAAGCCGTTATAATGCAACAACGAGTGAAGTTGCTCTGGTCATAGTCGGACAACAGTTCGAAAAGCGAGATATCGTTTTACAAAATCACGATAACAAATTGCATCGGATCAGCGTGTTACACCGCTCATATGACGCCGTGCAATACCCACTGCTATTTTGTTATGGTGAGGATGGCTACTCTATTGACATACCGCAATATTATCCTAAAACAAAAACATCTCTTCAGAAAACCATATCGGCGCTAAATTTTTATTCATACCGCATCATGGTCAGAGAAGATGGCGAAAATCGATTGCTATACTATCGTATCCGTTTTATTCAATATTTAGTTGACATGTATGCGAAAATAGAAACGGAAAGATTGAATTATATCAGGTACAACCAAGCATACCTCAGAGTAGATAGTTATGTACATTTGAAAGATGCGATAGGAAGGCAGGACACCGATATTGTTCAACTTGGTAATAGGGTGGTACTCCCTTCATCGTTTACTGGATCACCTCGATATATGCATGAAAGAACTCAAGATGCAATGACCTACGTACGCCATTACGGTCGCCGTGACCTTTTCATCACATTTACATGCAATCCTCAATGGAAAGATATTGCAGATGCATTGCTGCCTGGTCAAAAGCCACACGATCGTCATGACATATCACAGGTATTTCATTTAAAAGTTAAAGCAATTATGTCACTGCTAACAAAAGAAAATTTGTTTGGAAAAGTGCGTTGCTTTATGTATTCCGTTGAATGGCAGAAGCGAGGTCTTCCACAGATCCACATTTTGTTGTGGTTGGAGCAGCGAGTTTCTGCGGTTAATATAGATAATGTTATCTGTGCGGAGATACCGGATCCTCAAAAGGATCCTATCCTTGATAAAATTATCAAAACCAATATGATCCATGGGCCCTGCGGAAATATGAAGAAATCCCCGTGTATCAAAGGAGGTTGCTGTAGCAAAAAATATCGTCGAATTCTCCTGAAAGAAACCCAAACAGGCGACGACGTCTACCTTAAATATCGGCGAAGAGGTCCCGCGGATGGTGGATTTACGGTTGAAGTCCATGGTGTAACCCTAGAAAATAGATGGGTGGTACCGAAAAATCCAGTTTTGTCTCGAACTTTTGCTGCTCACATCAACATAGAGTATTGTAACTCTGTAAAATCTATTAAATATAGGTATATGCAAATACGTCAATAAAGGATCCGACCACGCCTCATTTGGTCTTGAAAATGACAATGATGAGGTCAAATTATATGAAAGTGGTCGATATATTAGCAGCTCTGAAGCTGTCTGGAGAATCCTGGCCTTTCCTATACATGAAAGATTTCCAGCGGTTTTTCATCTCGCAGTGCACTTGGAAAATGGCCAGCGTGTCTATTTTAATCCTAACGACTTCAATAATGTGACTGAAAAGGTAAATAATCCACAGAAAACTACTCTTCTAGCATTTTTTGATCTCTGCAAAACAGATAATTTTGCAAAAACCCTTCTTTATGTTGAAATTCCTTCATACTATGTGTGGAAAAGTACTAAATTTGAGAGACGAAAACGTGGAAACAATGTTGATGGTTGGCCGAGAGTCAAAAAAGATCAAGCTTTGGGCAGAGTGTACACCGTCCACCCTAATAACGCCGAATGTTACTACCTTCGTCTTCTTCTTCATCAAGTGAGAGGGCCAACATCATTTTCGGATTTAAAAACTACTGATGGTGTCGTTTATCCCACATACCAGTCATCATGTAAAGCTTTGGGTTTGCTAGTAGATGACAAGCACTGGAATGCTACAATGGAAGAAGCTGCTCTTACTGATTCTCCTTTTAAGCTACGAATTTTTGGAGATTGGTCTCCAAAAGGGGTGAAAAGTGGTGTCTAAGTTTGGGCGGATAAGTTTGTATAAGAACAATATTTCTACTATAAATAGAATTTTTTACGTGAAACTTGCTATTATTGTTCTTCAACACAAATAATGAAACCCATCTTTAAGCATTTTCTAATATTCAACCCCTAAGGGGGTGAAATGTGGAGACGTAAGTTTTTATGGGAAAATATTTCTATTGTATATTTAAATTTTTACGTGAAACTTGGTATTAATGCTCTTCGACACAAGTAATGAAACATTTTACGAGATTCAACCCCTAATGGGGTGAAAAGTACTGGCTAACTTTTTGTGGGAAAAATATTTCTATTGTAAATTTACATTTTCACGTGAAACTTGGTATTATTGCTTTTAAACACAAATAATAAAAAACGTATTTAAGAGCTTTCCGAGATTCAACCCCAAAGGGGGTGAAAAGTGATGGCTAAGTTTGTATACGAAAAATACTTCTATTGTAAATTTTGAGGTGATGTTTATTTAAAACTTGGTATTAATACTCTTCAACACAAATAATGAAAGACATATTTCAGATTTTTTCAAGATTCCACCCCTAAGCACATGAAAGGGGGTAACAAAAGCTTGTATGAGGAAAAATATTTTTATGGCGATTTTTACTTGAAATTTTGTATTAATCCTCTTCAACACATTTTTTACTTGAAACTTAGCAATAATGCTCTTCAACACAACGTATCGTCTATGCGAGCGAAGCCGCGGGCGAAAAGCTGGTCTCATATAAAGTATTCATGAATCTGATTATATTTAGTAGCATTATATTTTGGCAATAACAGCGTACAGCAACCCACAAACTTCTGAGGAAAATATTTCTTAAAATTCCCCGTGAAATACCTCCTAATTACGTAAATTACATCGAAAAGTTGTCCAATGCACAGTTATTAAGAAATTGACATGTTTTTTTAAATCTTCGCTTCGCTAAAAGGGCCAAGGGTCCATAGAACCTTTCCCAATCCATTCGTTTCGGACAGGTTTCCTTAAAGTATTCTCTCACAATTCTTTGTAAGGTCCTCCGTCTTGTTGATATAGTATAAATTTTGATGTGTTTCTAATTAACATTTTCTAGAGGTAATGGTAATGTATTGCGAAGAAATTCCATCTGGCCGTGTTGCGTCTAATGAACACTCTGCAATAGTCGAGGCATTAGTAGACGTGGAGAATTTGCATTTTTTATTTTGACCAAAAATGTTTCCAGCAATTTTTGTTATTTACGGAATTCTCAACGTATTCTTCGGTCCCCACTTGAGATTTCCAGCCCCCATGATGTTCTAAAACATCTATATTAGCTCCTGCCTCAGCAAGAAGAGATGTTGAGGTACGTCGGAAACAGTGACCCGTGTACAATGACGTTTCCGGACGATTTAGAAATTCAGCGATTTTTTTGAGGCGGGGAGCTAAAGATATTTTTGCCAACTGGTTGCACTATTCATTTCTTGTTAGCATAATATACAAAAATGTGTTTGTTTCGTTTCACTCTTTCTTAACTCCATATATTTCCTGCATGTTTGGACAAGATCATTGGCATTGTTTGATGAATTCCTGACAAAGAATGCTCGATCAACTCTGTTGTTTGTGTACCTGTCATTAAATAATAACGGAGAGCCTAAATCTTGAACATGGTTGTTAATATAGTAAATCCACTAATTGTTTACTTCTACGAGCACCGGACACGCCAATGATAACAGCAACCTGTACAATAAATTTTTAAATAGGATGCCTACTAATCCGTTTACAATTTCTTACCTTAACTATTAAAAATTCATCGAAAGCCTACTCAAAAATTCATTTACTTGTTTCATCGATAAAAGTTTAAATTTTTTCGCTTTATAATTTTCATTTTTTCCTTTTAAGAAAGCCAGTAATTTTACATACTTGCTGACATCTAAATCTTTTTCAATTTTTCGTAGAAATTCTATGGGTTCCTTGTTCTTCATACCACTTTTCAAATTCGTCACACTTTTTATGATAAACTTCACTGGGCTTCGTAGGCACTAACTAACTCGGCAATTGCTTTGTTTGCAGTTTCTTCAATTATATTTGACGCCATCACGGCACAAATTCAAGAATGACTTCAACGGTTGTCGTCGTTTATAATTCACCTATACATTGATTATGTTTTGTCACTATCAGAAACTGTGATTTTCAACTGCAAATCTTTTTTGAAATTATCAGAATCATCACAAAAACAACATCTATATTAAAATCTTTGCTGTCCTACCTAAGGTAAAGATCTTTTCTTATGCCCACTGACCGGACTATTATGACTGTTTGTGATTGTTTAACGCGTGATACATTATTTACTCCGCCAAATCGCAAACAAATAGAAAATTTGTGTTCACTGTGAGGAATGATAGATCGAGATATTCCTAATTGTTTGTAAAATAAATTAGTAGTTCTTTTTTCACTCAACTTCCAATTTTTTATCGTTACAATTTAAGTAAACACCTCACCTGTATTAAGAGTCATTGTAATCGTAATTTAATAATCTATCAGCCTGTTGGGGGACGTAATTGAATAAAAAAAAAAAAAAAAAAAATCAGCATTCGATGAAAATATATGTCTCAATGACGACGCTATATTTGCAATATATTGAATTAAGCTTTCCTCTTCAAATTAAAAACAATCGCGTTTACAAAATTTCCATATTTCTGGCCGTTCTCAAGATAAAAGACCGCGGAATTTTATCTGGGATATCTGTATAGGTATTTGTTTCTTCTGATAAACTTTAACCCCATAAGTACAGAGACAGTGGTTCGAGCGCCTCAAGTAGTAAAGAACATCTCTATCTTGACAAGTAAGTTGAATAAAAATTAACTTATTCTCTGCGCTTTGTATTTTATAATTTCGTAGCCGTCGCACGCAGATAAATTAATTATACGCAGAAAAAAATGTACACAAAACAAAGAAAATTGAAGCAAAAAAAAAACAGTTCCACACTACGACGGAGGTAACTATAACTTCTGAGTTGAGAAAACTGAATGTAATACTAAGAAAATGGTGTTTAGATATCCTGTAACATGTAGTTGTCGGTATTTACCAAGACATCCAATGTTGGGTTTAATAATAATTGTACATTTCACCGTAAAATTCATTTCGAATTAAAAATATCATTTCGTTCGTTTAACGTATTTTATTTGTTACTAGCTGACCCGGCGAACTTCGTACCGCCACATTTTATTTTTCTAGTCGCGACTGAGGAAATACAACCCTCCCGGTAAAATCAAATCAGCTCGATTATCAATAATTTCACAATATACTGACTTTTTTTTTTCACAACACGTCTAAGTATCAAATAGAATGTAACCTACAGGCGAATAAAACATAAAACAAGAACGCTGCAGATCTGACGTCGGCCTCTCGAAGTAAATACTAGAGCATAACATACAGAAACATAACAAGAACAACGAAAACACAAATCAAAACAAGATAATAATACGAGATATTGTGGGGCCCCATATGTCTTAAAAGTAGTCCTTACTTATGGTCGAGATCAACACAGGGTAAGTTAGTATTCACAGGCATCGCACCTGCCCTACCGCTGGTTGTTTGCCGGCCGGGTAATCTCTACCCGCAATTTTAAGCCTTGGTAATCGCTACCTGCACAACTTCGACCACGTAACTAGAGAAAAGTACACAGGCATCGCACCCGCCAGTCCTCAAGTTACCCCTTCATACGTTACCCACTGCTACTCTTGTTTAGTCATCACCAAGACGAATCCACGGACGCATATTCTCAGCGCCGCAAGCTCCTTGGTACGCCACTCGACTCCTGGTAGCACCTGGGATATCTCTGACCTCATAGCGATCGTTGTCCAAGACCTTCGCCACCCGAAAAGGGCCTCTCCATTTTGGCAGGAGCTTTTGACTGACTCCTGTGGCAGCGTTACATGTTACACGGATCAGAACCAGATCTCCTTCCTGATAGGTCTTGGCTACACTCCGTCCTTTGTCAAATTGCTTTTTCTGCTGAGCCTGGTACCGCTTTACTCGTTCGATCATTTGTCTCCGCACCTCGGTAACATCCACTGGACGTGCAACTACGCCCTCAGTTTGCATTAGACCCTGTGAACATACTCTATAACCGATAAGCGCTTCGCTTGGTGGGACGCCGATTGCAGTATTAAGTGTCCCGTTAATGCCCAGTTGAATATTATCTACATTAGAGTCCCATTCGTCGTCGTCGACATCGCCGCCCATGGTCGCTAATGAATCAAGGATTACTCTGTTATACCGCTCCACTTGGCCGTTGCCCCGTGGCATGGCAGTTGCATTCAAGTGGTGTGTTATCGCAAGGTCTGCACAGAAAGCCCGAAAAGTTTTATTGTCGAACGCTTTACCCCTATCACTAATAATGCGCTTTGGGACCCCGAAGATTTTGATGAATTTACGAAACGAGGAGACGATATACTTTGTTTGCCTACTTTTGACAGGGTATAGTAGAATGAATTTAGTAAATGCGTCTATGATTACTAAGAGATAAGTGTTTCCTTGCTTTGTTTTAACAAATGGACCCAAATGATCTGTGTGAACCGTATGAAACGGTTGAGGAATTTTCTTGATCGCATGTAAGTAACCCTGCGGCTTTCCGCCTGGAGACTTAAAGAAAAGACAGTTCAAGCAATTTCGAATATATTTAGTAGTAAATCTCCGCATTTTAGGAAACCAAAACTTACTCGAGAGAAGTTCGTACGTCTTTTCAAAACCAAAATGCCCTACATCATCGTCCACCATTCGCAGTAATTGAAATCTGTTTGCTTTAGGCACGACCCAGCGTAAAACTGTACTTGTGATTTTATAGACTTTTCCGCCTTTGAGCGCATAGTTAGTAAAAATCTCTTTGGATCGCTTTTTGTTGCATTATGCTTTTATCGGCTTGTTGTGCCGCGAGAAGCCAATCGTCATCGCTTAGAACGACGGCATGTACCCCACAGTCATGAACGGACAGATTGCGACTAAGGGCGTCTACATGGCGCATTTGTTGATTG